CGCTCCCACCCCGTTGCGCGCACACAATTTTGGAAGCAGTTTCATGCAGGTAGGACGACTCACCGCGACAATTGCGAGCAGCAAACTCTCCCCGCCCCCGGCGTGTGGCCATGTAACTTTGGAAGTGTGTGGAATGCATGTACTTAGGACAAAGCGGAGGAGTCACCGAGACGCCACCGAGACAACTGCAGGCAGCCAACTATCTCCCCGCTTCACAGGGCGCACACAATTTAAGAAGTGTGTTGCATACAGGATGACTCACCGAGACACCAGCAAGCAGCTGAATATCTCAAGTGTGGCATCTGGGCGAGCGTCCGCGTGCAGACACACAATTTCGAAAGTTGTTTCATGCATGTAGGACGACTCACGGAGACAACTGCAAGCAGCTACTAGTGCGCGCGACAGCGGACATAGCAGTTGCAGATTGTCGGAACACAGCGCCAAAACATGCACTTTTGCGTGCCACTCCGGGGTGTCGCGGGCCTGGTAAGCAAGTAAGGGAGAAGGAAGAGAAAGAGAGAGATAGAGAGGATGTAATGTAAAGCCCCATAACATATGGGGGGCCCATGTGGCCGAAAGGCCTCGCACGCCTTTCATGCCCTGCAGCAGAAGAAGAAGGATGTAATGTAGGGCCTTTGGGCCATGTTGTTGCGCACTCGGGAATGTACTCACCATACCCCGGAAGGGGCCGAACTGACCTTGGACGTCGCACGCCGCGAGGGGGTATAGGCCTCCGGGCCAAGGGGTTGCGTGCAGCCCCTACACCCCCCAGCAAGCAAGCAAGAGAGAGAGAGAGAGAGAGAGAGAGCGAGAGCGCATATTCAGGGTTTTTTGACAGAGCCGCCCTCGCCTCATCGAACTGCCGGCATCACTCCGGACTATGCTTTCCCCTTGGCTTTGTGGAAGAAGACAGCATAAATGCAAAGTAGAATCCTTGTCAGTTTCTTGTTTGTGTGGGGGGGGCTTCAAGGCGCACGCAGGCGTAATGCCGGTATGAGTCCTTGCCCGAAAAGCTGCAACACCCAAGATCACTTGCTGGGAAAGGGCCCACCAGATTAGGCGTGGACACGAACACCCACCGGCTGGCTTTGAAGACAGTGGCTGTGTGAGCATGTGTGGGTGCTCGGGTGCACGCGCATATGTTCTTTTGCACTCCGTCAAGACTCCTCCTGGCTACCACGCTTTTCGGCTCTTAGCAGTCTGCTGACACATACTTCGTTCTTTCATGGGCGCTTGGCTTGAGCGTTTAGGTGCCAGTCTCGCTTCGAAAACTTTTCTTTTCGCACCTGACCGAGAATGACGGTTTGTCCGGTTTCTTCATGCAGTCACGCTTTTTTGTCATATGTTTGGCTCGCTTGCTTCGCAGTCTTTTGATGTTTTTATGCTGTCCCACTTTCGTCTCCTTGTCACTGCAGGTCGTTGCACCGCAGGAGTGACAACGTTGCCAGGCTGCCAGCGCCACGAGCCCGTGCTGGAAGCTCTGTCCAATCAGATCCCGGAATTGAGGTCTATTTCATCAAACCGAGCATTTCAGCGACGGTATCAAGGTTGAGGTGGCCCGGCTTACCGTGGAACCTTACTAGCCTTACTGTGTAGGTGTCTTTTGGAACGAGTTTGCAAGTTTGCGGAGCCCCTTGTCCATGTGTGTGATCGCTGTCAAGGTAGATGAAGCAATTGCAGTGACAGCCTCAGCGGCCTTCATGCAGCGAAGACGTGCTTCACATGTGCTATGGTAGGTTGCCTGTCTCACTAAAGCCACATCGTTCGTCTTTGTCGGAGAGAATGCGCAAGTCCAGGGTATGTTTTCCATCGCACACTGCCTGCCGCCTGCCCTTCACGGGAAGCCATGCTAGCTTTCATTTGTGGAGGCAGGAGATGGGCCGCGTGCTTGTGAACATAATCCTGCTGGAGCGTTGGAGGGATGCAGCCGCTCGCAAAACCAGACGGCATGTATCATCAGAATTCTACCAGCGTAGACTGCAAACTGCGGAAGTCCGCGACCACAAAGAACACGACGACCAGGACCACCATAACGTCAAAGCCAAATCCTGTTGCCTTGCACTTGTGGAGTAGCGTTTCTGGCTCGTTGTTCCATGGTGGTTTTGCGGTGAGTTTCCCGCGACGGTTCAACCTGCGACATGTCACGCCGGTGTACTGCTCCAACCTTCGCAGCACAAGGTCGTGATGTGGAGATGCGAGTGTTGTGGTGGATGCCCTCGCACCCTCCTCCCACAGACTTGTTGCAAACACGATGCGCAAACCTCTGGAAAATGAAGGTTTCGCCTCCTGCGCGTCTTCAACGGATGCAGACAGTTCTAAGTTTGCCGGCCATTTTTCATTTTCAGTTTCGCCGGGCGGTCGATCTGCTAAGCCGGCCCTTCAGTCGGCGAGAGCGGTCCAGCGCACGTCCCAAGCCCCCGCCTCCTCATTAGGCGGTTGCGGTTGATCACACTTCCGGAGCTCACTCATCACATCACAGGCTTCACCTTCGGAGCCAGGCCGGGAGCTGATGGGACTGTTGACTCCTCTTCGCTGCCTCCGGCCTGCGGGAGTGAATAGACGAACAGGTCGCAGCTGCACGAAGACTTCTTGACGGCTCCGTGATCATCTTCCCCCTCGTGTGCGCACAGGTTTCGGGAACTCTTCTTGTACGATTTTATTTTCGCGTCTGCGAGGTATTGCGTCCTGCGATTACTTTTCAAGCTGGTGGGCCCGCGGACAATGCAAATCAGTGCGCAGATTTCGCCAGTCGTCCCGTGCGAGCACTTGGCTAAAGGGAGGGAATTTCTCGCAGGCGAAGGCCTGCGAGATTGTCATCTACGCAGACGATGGCGAGAAGGCCGGATTTGCTCTCCGGATGTTCGGTTGTGACTTCCTGATCCTTCAAGGACCGAAACCTTCTGGGGGATCGGAGTTGGAGTCGCAGGCAACGGTTCTAAATGAGGTTGAGGGTCGCAGTATCAGAAGGCTCTGTCTTGGTGGCCGTTGCTTGCCACCGGATGCTGCAAGGTGAGACAAGTGCGCAGATCGTGTAACCACAATCGCATACAATCACCATCGGACGAGGACAAGTAGAACAATTACTCGAACACGGAGTTGCTGAGGGCGAATGCGCCGCATTGCCAGAGGTATTGGCTTGGGAGAGACAGGGATCACTCAAGGACAGATTCAAGATATGAGCCAGCAAATGCTGAATGAACAGCGAAGGAACACACGATGTAGTAGATTGACGACCCAACGGTCAAGACGCACACAGAAACGACTTCAGACAAGTGGGCATGGAGATACGTAGAGTGCGGAACTGGCAAGACGAAGAAGCGTGTGAAACGAAGACGGAAACACTTCCCGATGCATCGAGGCGCGCTTAGTCGGGTCATGCGTGAGTGGTGCTCGGAGAGTGGCAGGTCCAGTTTGATTGACAGCTCCTGCTGCGTTATTGTGCCGCTTCGCATCCGGCCAGATGCGTGTCAGCAGGAAGCGAGGACGAATTCATGGGCCTCACGATGTCTTACGTCCTTGTCCAGCCAGTTTGACCAATTTGTACTGTGAATGTTGATTGCTGATGTGCTAGCTTCGCGCTCCTTGTCCTGCCCGGTGTGATGGTGCGGCCAGTCCTCCCTCTTGAAGTAGGCAGCGATATATTTGCACCATGAAGCCATAAACCTGCCCGAAAACTGTCTGGTACTGGTTTCCTTTCAAGCAAGTCCAGCCAAGACCAAAGCAAAGTGTATCCAGTGCTGTCGTATGCAATGTTTGAGAGCATGAGCATACTGGCTGAGGTTGATTATTTGTTGAAGCGCTCAGGATTGGATATGCGTGCATGTATTTGGAAGTCTACTTTATGCTCACAAGTGTGAGTGGGTTCAAGGTATCGTCACAGATAACATAGCTGTCCAGGACAAGCTCGTGTTTAAGTTTGACGCTTGCCTTCGGAGACTGGAATCCTGCCTGTATCGAGGCTCATGCCCTGCTACTGTAAACGGGACTACCGGCAAAGTATACAACCCAACATGCCAAGTACGTGAACCGAGAGACCGCGTCTGGCTGAGTCCGAGTTGCGAGAGCGCATGTGTCTAAGCCTCTATGGCATCTTGCTACGAAGCTCCCCAAATGCTTGTGTCCCTTGCCTGCTCAGGGTCTAGGGTTGAGTTTGGGGCTTACCAGAATCCAGTTGCTTTGGCCCACAAGCAATGCACATCTTGATGGTGAAAAGCGCACGGAGCCTGGACCTATGCAATATGCATTGCCACAAGCTTTGTGCAGACACATCAGCAGATGCATACTCATCGCTGCACATGAGCAGCCCATGTGCGCTTAAAAAACCTATTCGTTCATGAACAGGTCAGGCTGTTGCTAAATAGCCGTTTACAACTTCACAAGAAGAACACCAAGCAAATCCCAGTTTTTCAGAGCTTTATGAAAAGGTCCTGGGGTAGGAGAGTGAGCGTCAAAAGACCCGATGCGTGGAGAAAGTCCAGCTGGTCAGTGTGTAAGATTGCGATCTTTGCGATGAAGTAAGGTTTGTGGAATCAGTGGCGGGTGGATGGTAGGTGGGTGCTGGTCAACGTGGAACCACGATCGAAGACGGTTATGGAAAGTGCCCTTGTTTACAAGCGATCCCCCCTGCTGGTAAGACGGGAGAGTGCAGGCTACGCTCTTCACGATCTTCGGCAGTTTGAGACTTGCCTGAGCAGGCCTGTCAGGGTTTCGCCAGCACGATGTTCTACGGAGTCTGCACCGCCAGCTTTCAGGCATCCTTGTTGGCGGCATGCTTTGCCAGCGTGCACAGCTGCAACGCTTCCAACTGCCAGTCTGCATGTGCAACAGGCTTTGCGGCTTCAGGTGTACCAGTGACCAGTTCAGACGTTTGTTAGCAAAACGGCACTTGTGGAACGCAGCGACTCGGTGGTATGACGATTGAATGACGATGTCACGCTAGTTCGAGAAGTGCACCACTGCTCAGTACACTAACAGATAGATAGGTCTCTCCCACTGGCGTCATGAAGCGGCCGATTTTCACGGGCCCTGGCAGCCTCAAAAGGCAAAAGAAGCCGGAGCCGGCGGACGGGGCGTCGCAATCTACGAGGGCCCCACTTTCCCAAGAGGCGATGCCGTCCCAAGACACCGAGCCGGAGACTTCGGCAATGCATGCGGAGCCGAAGCATGAGTGTGTCACATCAAGTTCAGGGGTCTCAGCCGCTTCACTAGTGGCATTTTCACCGGCACCAAGTTCTTCCAAGTCTTCGCGGCCCAGGTTCTTGTTTGAAATCTACGGCGCAGACTGTAAACCTGAAGAGGCCGAAGAGGTGTTTCACGAAGAGGCCGAGGTGAAAGATGAAGAGGCCGAAGAGGTGAAACATGAAGAGGCCGAAGAGGTGTTTCACGAAGAGGCCGAAGCAGTGAAACATGAAGAGGCCGAAGAGGTGAAACACGAAGAGGCCGAAGAGGTGTTCCACGAAGAGGCCGAAGAATTGAAACACGAAGAGGCGGGAGTGGAAGGCGAAGCCTTGGAGGCCACAGTTGAAGACTGGCACCAATTACCTCCGGTCATCCGGCCGGTAGAGGATACCCTGGAGAATGTCATTGAAGGCATCAAGACTGGGAGGCTCGCAGCACTGGCCAAGACGATGGAAGACCAGATTGGCTTTACGGACTCAGCATGGAAGAGCCTAGCTCCAAGGAACGCTGTTCAGGCTTTTCTGGGACGGTACACACACGCACGTAATCCTGTGTACCACTTCGAGTACTTCACGGATGACAACATCAACTTTCTGGTCGAGCTAATCACGCCTGCTTTCTTTGGACGGCGCTACGGAGGTTATGTACCAGCTGAGAAGCACGTGGCCGAGACTTATGCCTGTCTAGCATTCAAAAACGACATCGCCGTTGACAGAGCAAGGAAAAAGCTTTTGCCTCCGCTACAAAAGGTTCGAAACCATTGCATGCTGAGCAGGGGCCAGAAGGAGGAGCTTAGAAACAGAGGCTTTAATCCAGATGTCGTTCAAAACGACATCTACATGCTTGTGTACAGCGGGTTCAGACCACTCGGCTGTAATACGGCGTTCTGGGACGGTAACGTCTCCGAACCACCGATGATAGGCAAGACGCCTGAGTGAGATGTCTGCGACAGATTTTGCTTTTCAAAAAGATTTGCGCTTGATTGTTGTTGAACTTGCTGTGCAGCGAACCTGCGACGACTGGCCATAACTAGTCGGGCGGGTGTCTTGAAGCTGCGGCGCTGCGCAGGCCATCGACCTCCGCATCGCTTTGAGGCGACGCCCCTGGATCTCATGGCTGCATCGTTTTCCAAGCCTACCTGCAGTCCTGCAATGGCGGTCTGTTGCAATCTGCCTTTGCGCTGCTCGTACTTTGACAGAAGAGGCCAGCCTGAAGCTCGCTTCGACACCAATGTTGTAGCGTCCCCTGCGCCGGCTCATTCTGAGGACTTGCGGCTGGCCGGCATTGGGGCCGACATCAGCCTTGCAAAGCTATGTGCAGCACTTGTCAAGCCTGATTTCTCGGACAAGCGTTGTCGCAGCTCGGATCAGGCATATCAGGCCAACACCTTCCCACCCCTGGGTCTTGGTGCATGTCTCGGAGAATTGGGTACACGCAGATTGACAGTTTGTTTCTTTCGCAAGTCGCAGCTGCCGAGGTCTGGCGGAACAAGTTGCCAACCCCTTCAATTTGTCATCAAGGCCCTGCAGCGTCTGCATGTTTGTGCTCCTCGGACAGTTTGTCATGTGTGAAAGGTGTCATGTGACGTGTCCCTAAAGACCACTTGCTTCGATGGCAGGCACGTCCTATGTTCACAGCAGCTTTTCGAGGATGTAATCGAGTTTGCGGCGTTCGTGACATGCCCCGTCCCTGACACCCCATGCAAGGAAGTCTTTTCAAAATTGTGTGCGCGCGCGCGCGGGGGGTTGGAGAGATACTTAGCTGCGTGCAGGCGTCTTGGTGAATCATCGGTTCCGTTGCTTTGCAGACGATTTGGGGTCTTGTGGTAAGCTTGAATTCGTGGCTGAGTTTTCGCTGTTTGCAGAAGGAGGCTTTAAGCCTGGAGCCACTGAGAAATCACAGCGTTTCTCAGGTTCCGCAAGTACTCGTACTTGCTGTCCGAGGAGGTTGAAGGCCAGGGGCAAGCTCAGCTTCACGATTGGACTCTCAAATACTCGTGTGCTTCGATGTTGTAGATGTAAAGTGGGAGCAGCGGATCCTGAAGCCTTGGCAGGCTTTGTAGTGACCTGCGACGATCCCCATCGCCATGTTTGGCCTAGCAATGGCATCCGGTGTTTGTTAACGGTTTAGCGCACACGTGCCGAGATGTGCCGAAGCCGTGAAGAGGGGCCACACAGCACCGGTCGCTTTTCCGGTCAGCTGCATGTTGCTGCGCTTGCGGTAGCGCTCTGCCGCAGACTTCGACCCGACTGACATCAACGGCTGCCACGAGCGCTTGGTCCTGAGTCCTGAGCAGTCCTGAGCCGCAGCGTGCTGATATTCAGGCCTTGGCCCGAAAAATAGAAAGTGCTTCAGGGCCCACTCCTCAGGGTCGGATGCCCTGAGATGATGAACGCGGCATGCCACAATGGGCCACAATGGCCCCTCCCAAATGTGCTGTCCTGCATACCGCAGCAAGACCATGTGCCAACGTTAAGTGGTTAAGCTAGATACCTAGTTTTCGCCAACTCTCCCGGGTTCAACTTTCATGCCCTGTCAGAAACCCGAGGCATCGAGGGCTATCGAAATGCCAAGTACGAAGTGCAAGTTTGTTTTGAGAGCTGCAAGGACTGCAGCTGAAGTGCAGAAGCTGAACGCAAGCTAAGCAAGTCTCTGTTCACTGAGCTTCCTTCGTCTCTACAGGACTTCCCTTTCTTTCGGCCGCGATGCACCAACATCATACGTTGCCTGAGAAGGCTCGTCTTTCAGTATACCTCCTGGGTCCCTGGGTGCCAAATAGTTGCAGGGCTGTCAGGCAGGTGGTTCCGACTCCTCGTTGGCTAGAGTCTGCACTTCAAGAAGCTGAACGCAAGCTACACAAGTCTTTTCACTGAGCTTCCTTCGTCTCTGCAGGATTTCCCTTTCTTTCGGCTGCGATGGCCGCCAACATGACTCATACGTTGGCTGAAAGGCTCGTCTTTCAGTATACCTCCTGGTTGCTCCATTGCTGCAGGGCTGTCAGGCACTTGGGAAGTTCCCACTCCTCCTGTTCAAGAGTCTTTCAGAGTCTTCCTCTTGAGTTACTGCGCCTGAGCCTGAAATTCAGCCACAGAGACACGAACCCTGACCTAACCGGAGTCAAGCTTGGCCCGAGGTGAGTGGAGAAGCTGTGGAAAAAGCATTCCGCTCGCTGCGATCTCAGCTCGGCTCCGGCACCACAGACAGAGGTCAAGGCAGCATCTGAAGCGATTCGCTTTCCACAAGTGTGAGGAGCGTAGGCGCAGCCCTTATCACATGACAGTATATTCGGCTCCAGCCATCCGTGAGGGTACCGGGTACAGAGTCCGCAAACTCAGGCTCGACTGGCTGTTGCAGATCAAGATGCATAGGGTTCCGGAGTTTAAGGCATGTATACAGGGTTTGACAGCCTTGAGGGTTCAAGAACTACAGTCTAAGTTACAAGATTAGGGAGATGAGTGCTACTTACTTCGTGTCCCTCTTGTAGTAGCTTACAAAAACAAGCCTGCTTCTCAACCAGAGCCTCGGTAGAGCAGGTCTTCTGAAAGTCTTTGAAGTGTTGTCTGCTGTTGGCCCTTGGATGTTTCGAGTTTGCGCGCTTTGGATTAGAGTTTTGCGTTTCTGGCCGTCTTGATGCTCCGAGCTTCCATGGTGCCCAAGCCATTTAACCTTCTAGCAAAATTAGCACCGATGCCGCTGCCATCCTTCGAAAGCTGTTGACATGCAGCCAAAACCCATCGAACCCTTGAACTCTTGTACCCCTACAGTCAGACCTCGCGAGCGGGCATCGTTTCCAAGCAATCGAGAGGGAAAACAACCTATCACCATGACCCCAACATGGACCCAGAAAAATAGGATCCGTAGTATTGCATCTTGCCTGAGGTGAACATCGTCGCAGATTCCTTCAGGAGCGCCACTCCTGGTCGCGATGCCGTGCACGTACTTGTACAGGCAGCAAGCATGGAAGAGTCTTGCAGAGGCCGGACCAGCATTTGGTGCCAAACCCGGCTTCTTTGCAGGGCATATGAGGGTGCCTGCTGTTCGTGCTTGGGTCACGGTCACAAGGCATTCCGCGCAGCTGTGACAGGGTATGTTGCTTAATTGCCGAACCAGGTAGGAGAGCTCAGCCGCCTCGCCAAAGGCAGCGGCTTTTGACGCAGCCTCAGGCGTGCCCGGCAGGGCATCTCAACGTCATCGTTGCTCCTAGGGACGTACTGCCAGCCTTCAGACATCCGTTTTGATGGCGTGTCTTGCCAACATGCACAGCGTCAACGATTCAAACTGCGAGCCTTGCATGTGCTTGCATGTGCATCAGAACTTTGCGGCTTCCGGTGTGCCAGTTCAGATGATTACTAGTAACACAGCAGGTATGGCAACGCAAGCAATCTGGGGTCAGGCTAGTTCGAGAAAGTGTAGCGCAGCTAAACCAAAAGATCAGTTTTTCATGCATGCCAATCGCTGCGGTGTCTCCCACTGGCGTCATGAAGCGGCCGATTTTCACGTGCCCTGTCAGCCATAAAAGGCAGGAGAAGCCGGAGCCGGCGGACAAGGCGTCGCAATCTACGAGGGCCCCACTCTCCCAAGCCAGGTTCTTGTTTGAGGCGCCGTATTCTTCATGCGCAGCGCCAGCTTTGGAAGAGTGTCATGCGCAAAGTTTGAAGACTGAACAAGTCTTCAAACAGTTTGAAGACTGAACAAGCATCCTTCTTGGCCAACTTCTAGTACAACATAGCTGTTGACAGCAAGGAGAAGGCCTTTGCCTCCGCTTCAAGAGATTCGCAACCACGGCATGCTGAGGCTCAACATGCCGTGGTTTCGAATCTTTTTGGACCTTGCTCAGAGCAAGACCCAGAAGGAAGAGCTGAGAAAGAGAGGCTTTGAATGGATCAAAGCCCCTGTTTCTGAGCTCTTCCTTCTGGTCAAAGGTCGTCCAAAACGATATCTACATGCTTTTGTACAGCGGCTTCAGACCACTTGGCTGCCCGTCGATGATAGGTAAGAGGTCTTGGTGAGATGTCCGTGGCATGTTTGATGCTTTTAAAAAGATTTCGCTGGATTGCTGTTGAACTTGCTGCGCAGCAAACCTGCGACGACTGGCCACGACTAGTCGCACGGGTGCGGCGCGGCGCAGGCCATCCACTTCCACATCGCTTTGAGGCAACGCCGCGTTGGATCTCATGGCTGCAGCTGAAGGGCATCGTTGCCAATCCTACCTGTAGGTGCCAATGGCGGTCTGTTGCCACGTGCCTTTTCGCTGCTCGTACTTCGACAGAATGAAGGTCGCGTCGACACCAGCGTTGTAGCATCCGTGTCTTTGCTCGAAAGCCAGCCGAGAGGCTGAATCCGCTGGAGAAGCCTTCGGTACTCAATTGCGGCTGGCCGGCGTCAACCTCATGTCAAGGGCAAAGCCATGTGCAGCACTTGTCAAGCCTGATTTCTCGGAAAAGCTTTGTCGCGGCTCGGATCAGGCGGACAACACCCTCCCACCCGCGGGTCTTGGTGCATGTCTCGGAGAGTTGGGTACACGCAGAACGCGCACACGCGCGGAACCCGAAGTTGTTTCTTGCACACCTCGCGGCCAAACAGGTCTGGCGGGACAAGTTGCCACCATTGGTCATCAAGGGCCCTCGCAGGAGTGTCAGCATGTTTGTTGTGCTCCTCGAACAGTTTGTCATGTGTGAACGGTGCCATGTGATGCGTCCCTGAAGACCACTTGCTTCGCTGCCATGTCCTATTCAGCATAAGCTTGTCGAGGATGCAGTCAAGGATGCGGTGTTCGTGACATGCGCCGATTCCGTCATACATTCATGGAGCTACTTTCAAAATTATGTGCGCGCGCGCCGGGGCGGGGGATTGGGGGCAGTTGCATCTCGGAGAGTCATCGTGCATGGAATTACTTGCAACATCGTGTGCGTGCTCAGGGAACGGGGGACAGATCTAGCTGCTTGCATTCGTCTCGGCGAGTCCTGGAACTACTTCCAAAATTATGCGTGCGCGCACCGCGGGGGGTGGGGGGAGATACTTATCTACCTGCAGACATTGTGCGCGTGCTCCGGGCAGGGAGGAGGTACTTGCACTGGCATTCGTCTCGGTGAGTTTCATCCAAAATTATGCGGGCGCCTACACAGTGGGGGAGATACTTAGCCGCCTGCCGGCATCTCGGTGAGTCATCATACATGCAAGAGCTACTTCAAAATTGTGTGCGTGCCCGGGGAGGGGGGAAAGATACTTGCAGGCGCCTTGGTGAATCATCGGTTCCGTCGCTTTGCAGACGACTTAGGGTCTTGTGGCTAGCTTGGATTTCGCGGCTGAGTTTTCACTTCAAGCTTTAGGGTAGGGTTGTAGAAGCGCCTTTACAGAGGTTAGTGCATTTCTCGAGGATTTGTGTAGGGGCGCTTTGAGGGTTTGAGTTCCCTGCATATGGTCCGGCCAGACGAGTTTATCTAGGCGTTCCGAATTGGTCTAGAAGTTGTTGTATATCGGCATCGGATGTTGGGCTTGCGGTTCTATAGCGACTACCTGCATTTTCCTTAGATGCTTCTTCTATTTACGACGACCCCTATCAGGATTCTGAAAGGAGTGTCCACCTATAGTCGCCCAGTGTTTGTTTCTAGTCTTCTGGATTAAGTTCAAGGACGCTCGGGGTTTCAACAAGCGAAGCGCACGAAAAGCCGAAGCAAAGGCAGACACACGCCTGCGGAGCCATTCTTTGGAAGCTCGTCGGCTCCTCCCATGCTTCGCCTCTCCTGCAACTGCAGGAGCTCAGAAGCGCAGTGCAGGCATTCAAGAAGAACATGTAACATGCCCATCATCCAGGCGCTCGAGCTGCTACCAAGTTTTGCCGGAAGTGCTGCCACTGAAGATATACTGGATTCTCCCAAAATCGCAAAGATGCTGGGTGTGGCATGTGCTAGGCTACATGTGATCCGATGATTGGTTGCACCCTCATTGCCAGGATATGGATGTTGACATCGATATGGAGGATGGTCTGACGCTAACGATGCCACTCTGATGAATGGCTTCTTGTGGCAAAGCGGCACGTTCGGACGCTTGATGGGACCGGACGGAGCACCTCAACCCTGTTTTTCAAAAAGTGCAAGAAGAATGGTGCGCAGGAACCAGAGCATGAGCAGATGTAGACAATGGGGTAGATTGCCAGGTGCTTGGAGGCAGGCATGCTCAACCATATCGACAAGGCACGCTGAGCTACGTTTGTTCGCGTACTGGTCGTTCGGTACCACTGAACTAGTTTGTGATGACTGTCGCCACCCCTTGGCCCAGCCAAAAACTCGGAGCCTCAGATCTTCTGTCGTCATTCCAACTTGTCTTCGACATCGCGGCATCCCGTTGTCAGGTGGAAGCCATCAGCACGTCGGTCCAGAAGCAGCATGAGTTGAAGGCTGGGGGCACATCGTGATGGGGAAGCAACGTGAAGCTCAAGCGCGTCAGCGCATTTGCTTGACGGGGGGAGGGGCAAACAAAGAGACTACAGGTCCTACGAGGTGGGATAAAGCTCTTGCTGTACAGCAGGTTGAAGTTCAGGTCTTAGGATACATGGCGAGTCACCAGTACTGTCTTGCTTGCACAGGTGGCACTCCAAACCATGAAGAACGAATGGAAGTCGGTGGCGTCGCCTGGCCGATAGGTTGCATTTTTAACCGCTATTACGGGGCTGTGACAAAGAGCTCTTCAGACACCATGCTGGTTGGGGCAGTTCTAAGCTCGTTCTAAGGGGACTTTCCGAAAAAAGCGCTCAGCTGTCAGGACTGAAATGATAGGATTCAGGTCTGCCTCGAGGGCATGCCCATGCAGTGCTTGTGGGGTGTCTCATGAACCGATGGTACACCCATGAGTCAAGGCAGTATGTTGAGCACGAGCAAGCGAACCGTGACTACGTCGGAATTGGCTGGCTGCGATGCCCAGGTTTGGAACCCTGCCCTACAAGAACACAGGCGCATTCCTTCTCAAAGGACGGAATCTGTGGCCGTCATCGGATTTTCAAACGACCATAACATGACTCAGGATTGGCTCAGAGAGCACCACAGTGCAGGGCATGGCATTCCTTAAGCATTCCAGCCTTCAAACCACACACTAGGAGGGACTTCAATTCGTTGGTCCACCGTTTGTCCAAAGTTTGGGATATCAGCGCCAACCCTGCATCTCGTGCTCGAGTTGCGGTTTCGGTGGGCCGGACGCAGCAGACTGCACATGTGGGATTGGCCGCAGGAAAACTTCAAGTCCTGTGGGTGGTACTTCTGTCTTGCGCAGGACGAAGGTTTTCAGAAAGTCTTCTCTGTGGGTGTCATGTACGCTTTCGGAAGCCTGACACTCCATGACGGCAAGGAGCTGATGATGTGCAGGCTCTCCTGGACTACCTTGTCGCTTGTCGTCGTCAAAGTTGTAAGCACAAGTGCAAAAGCATGCTGGCAGAATGCCAGGTTGCCAGGTTCCTGGGTCTACAGCTAGCCAACCCTTCGGGCGCATTCGCAGAACTGGCGAGAAAGACCGCCGTTGAATAAGCTCATCTTCTGTTGCCCCCGCTTACGGGATTACAGGTCAGGTCGCCGTCATGCAACTACATGAGTCCTTCCCGTGGCGGAGCCGTTTTTAGCGATTCTTTGCATCTCAGTTCAGTATCATCCCTCTCCGTCGCGATGGTGCAGAAACTTGGTCAGGCCTGAAGTTCAGCCGGGTTTAGTGCAACAGGAGGTGCTTTTGCCTCTCGTGTGGCAGGGAGCCTTCGCAGTGGTGATTGCCGGCGAGTACCAGGGAGCCAGGCAAGTTCAAAAAGCCCACACTCACGCGCAAAACAGAAACCCGAAACATGCCGTGAATGCGCTCCCTTCAGGGTGGCCATGAAGCTCGCAAAGGTCCCAGGCACCGGTGCCCTGTGCCAGGAGCTTCTGAGTTTCGGGTCTTACGCACTTGTAATTTCAGCGCCGAAGGAGAAAGCGATGGTGGGCCTTGCACACCCCAACTTGTGCAAGATCCTGGCAGAGATCCCCAATGACGACGGCCTCATCATGGAACTCTGCCCAGGAGGCTCCTCCGTTTGTGGCTTCTGCGATTTCTAGAGCCGCAAGCACTTCGCCTTCCTTCCTTGCGATGCCCTGGGTCATTGCTTTGAACCAGGACGTTGTGTTGTTTCTGGCGGCACGGCACGCGTTGACTGTGTTTATGGATGTGCTGGGCCACGCTGTGAACCAGGAGTCAGGAGATGTGTTTGCAAATGGAATTCGTACTGCGCGATTTTTTGTATAGCGGCATGCACTTCGCATTCTTGAATTTCGCTGTCCCAAGTCATTTTGCGAACCAGGGGGTAGTGTCGTTTCGGCTGGCACGGCGTACACTTCGTATTCTGCTGGACGTTCTGAGACAAACTTGCCGCATGTCCGGAATGGCGTGGAGTGTTTGTGTGTCTATCTGTGTCTGTAGGTGTGTGCGCGCGTGCGCGCGCGGGTTGTGGTGACGGTGGTGGGAGTGTTCTGGCTCTGGTGTTCTTCTCGGGATTCTCTGTCGGGAGGTAACCTGGAGGCGGCGATTCTGCATGCTCGTGGCAATGAGTATGCAGTCCCCGACCTCGGGCACCGCTGGCTGGCACAGGCCTGGCAACAGAAGCTTCTTGCACTTGCGGCTCCTGAAGCCACGCAGTGAGGTCTGGGATGGCTTGCAGTTCCTGCATGCCATTCCCTACTTACACCGTGACCTGAAGCCTGCCAACATCCTGCTGAGTGAGGAGCAGGCTGAAGATGCACATGCAGTCGTGATAAGGGGTTGTTTGAATTGCACGATTCAAAAGCAGTCTACCATGTTGCTTTCTACACTAGGGGCCCTTCCTTTTTCTGAAACTCCCATATGGTGTAGGTTTGACGGGGAAGGCCTGACGGCTTGATTTTGGATGTCTTATGCATGCACCGAGCCGAGACGAAATCGTGAAGCCCGAAATCCTCGTCGAAGAAACAGTAAGAACCCCCGAACCCAAATACAAAAGCTGAACTTCCTGAGCCTGGTAGCTATGAGGAATTAGACAGACCCAAAGTTTTCTCAACGAAACTCTAAACTCGGAAAGATCAACATCCCTAGGCGCTAACTACCGCCCCAGACACTCAAAGCCCCAGTGCGAAAATTACAAAAAGGCTCAGAGCGCTAGAAGCACTGAACACCCCCCTTAGCCGATATAAACATAACGCCCTTAGATTGGATACCGTAACAAGCTTGACAAATTCCAAATCCCGAAAGCAAGAGACCCCCCTAAGAAAACATACTAATTCAATACTTCAACACATCGAAGACCCAAACACAAGCCCCAACACTCCCAAGCCTGAAAGCTTTGACCAAATCACGTGAATCCATGTCCCCAACAAGCCCTCACACGCTGTGTGTGTGTGTGGAGTCGCCATCGATGTTTCGGCATTGGAATGTGGTGCCATCGCATCTTTGCATCTTTCCTCGCGCGTCTCGATTCCTTCTCGCCATGCACCTGTCGAAACCGGCATAAGTCGCTTTGCGGAGCCATGCCGCCCTTGAGCTGGTGTTGCCTGCCCCCGCCATAAGCAGTCGTCAGTGGGGTTTGGGTTGTGAGATCTTGATGGTGCTGTTCGGGTGTTTGTGCTCCGAGTGGATAGTGACAGGGAGCAAAGCCATTTCCTTCGCTGAAACTCTTGGCCCTGTTCTGGGAGCAGGCTTGGGCCATTGGACCTGGAGGGGTAGGGACTCACCTGGCAAAGCATCAAGAAGCCCTTTAAGCGGAAGAGGTCCAGGGCCCATGGCAGCCCCGAAGGGCGTCGTGGTGGTCAACAGAAACCCCAGCTCCTCCTTCTGATGTCCAAACGAAAAATCAGGGCTGGCAAAGCGCTCACGAAGTGCGTATCGAGCAAATCACCCCGAGAAGGAGAAGCCAGGAAGGAGAATCCGCCGAGGCAGATTGGCCAAACTGGGTTTCGGGCTTTGGGGTTCGGGCTTGGGATACAACTTACATCCGTAGGAAATGGTGGGCACCGCGCTCTGGGCCACTCACTAGCCCTCGTAACTTCTGGCATGGTGGAAGGGTTGAGCCAAGGCGTTTTTTTGGGGGGTGTGTTTGCTGAACTTCCCTAAAGGCCCCAAACCGTAAACCCTAAACCCCGCGGGAGTTGCGAGAGCGTAAACCCCGCGGTGCGACATAGTCAGCTGGGCGGGCGGGAAAAACTGCAGGCTTTACTGAACTCGCATTGGCTTCATACAAGTAACCTGAACAAGCGTCGCCATCGACGCAGTACGTCCCAAGATCTTCCTTGAAGGTGGCCAAGATTGCCGACTTCGGCTGCGCATTTTTTGGGGCGAGGGCCGAGGGGGGCGGCCGTCCCATCGGCAGCCCTGGCTTCGACCCAGCCTCAGCATCTCAGCATCACGTGAATCTTGTCCTGAAAGTCCAGACAGCATTGCAGAAGGCCTGCCCGGAAGTCCTCCGTGGGGAGGCTCACGGCCCCGAAGCTGATCTCTTCAGCTTTGGGGCCGTGATGTGGACGCTGCTGAGCGGGGGGAATGATGGTGAGGCGCAAGTCTTTGTTCATCTTCTGTGCGCAGAGAAGAATGCGCGCAATCTCAATGCAGGAGCGGCCACAACCCGTCATCTACGATTGGATGGCGCCCCCGATCTTCAGCAACGCCAGACGCTGCCTGGAAGTTGCCGAAGAGGCGTCTCTTGTTTTTTGCTGCTTCGTCTTTGTGCTTCCGCTTTCAATCTCTGTCTCGCGTCGTTGTTTGCTTCGTCCTGGGCCGCTCTGTGGACCAGACTGTTCATCTCCGCATGTGTGTGTGTGTGTGTGTGTTGTATTGTTTCTTTGGCGCGGCGGTCGGTTCATGTTCATGTTGAGTTTAATGTCCTGGGCCACTCTGTGGAGCAGCTGGCTAGATTGTTCATCTCTACATGTTAGCGATGCTTCTTTAGGCCGTGGCACGGTGGTCGCGTCATGTTAACCTTGATGTCCTGGGCCACTCAAGTGAACCAGATTCACACGGTGGTCGCTTCATGCTCGTTTTGATATCCTGGGCCTTCGTGCGATTGAAGTCCTTGTGGTTTCTTCTCCTATCCAGATGGATTTGCGCAAGGCAGTGGTCCAAGGCCTCACGCATTCTGTGCCCGGCCATCGGGCGGGTCACGAGCTTACGAAGCGCGCATGCGTTTTCGAGAATATCGTGGTGCCGCCATTTCGCGGATTGGCTTCGCAGGCGAAGGTGTGCAGCTGCTCGAGTCTTTCTTGCAGGACCAATCTCGCAGAAATCTGCAGCAGACAGTGACGCCTTCTGTTCTTGTGTGGAGCTTTGCCACCTCGTGGTCACATCCGCTCACCGGTGCTGGATGTCAGTGTCTGCAGGGCGTGGAAGGCGTTCCAAACTCCAGCGAGGCCGCCAGAGAAAGCCAGCGAGAGGAAGCCGCAGGCCGCTCGTAGCCTTACAGGAGTTGGACGTGGACTCGAGCGATGAGAGCTCCCAGGAGCCTTGACTTTGCAGTGTCACCATCAAGTGTTGCTGTGAACCGGCCGCAGGACCCGCAGGACCCACCTGAATCCACATGGGAGGAGGTGCCACTACCAACTCTTCTCCAGGCTTGGTTCTGTGTGGCTTCCGCCCTGCACAAATCCCCCAACCCAGAACAAATTCAGAAGACATTTATAAATCCATAACTCCATGTAAATCATGTAAGACCCCATAAAGCGTGACAGTTCAGGGTAAGACTCAGTGCAATCTCTCACAATAAGCCAGAACCCAAGTCAGTTTCAAGACACTGGAATCCATCTCTGATTCGAGTTCCTCCAGCCAAACCCTTATGCTCCAATAGAATGTCAACTCATCCCGTGCAAAGAAGCTTCCTGTGGTCGAGATCGCAAGCCTCTTCAAATGATCAAAATCTTCAGCGTGATACAGAAGCGACGAGCAGGCTGCGCCACTTCCCCCGACTCCCAAGGCTCGGGCTACCTTGGACATGTCCTGCTTTCGAACAGCCAGTAGAGACCCTACATGAGCCGATGTGGTACAGTCTGACCGATGGACTTGCGGGTAGAAGTCCTGTCTCCAGTGCGTGCGGGCATGCGTGCATGTGCAGGGGGACACAGATGCCGGACATTCCAGCAAGCTGAAGGCCGAGTGCTCCTGCTATCTCCCGCTCTCTGCATGATTACATGCTCGCCTGAGGGCTTTGCCAACGCCAGGCCAGCGCCCCAACCTTCATGCCCTCCTCCACAACGTTGCAGGAGGCACGCATGTGGGCGTGAGGAACCCCAGCCCCAGAGCAAGCAAAATTGTGTAGTTGCTGCACCCCCCCTCCGCCCCCGCCCGCCCCTTCAGCGACAGGTCATTGAAGCTGCCCAACGTGCAGCGGAGGTGTGGCTGTGGCCTGTGATTCATTGTTGAAGTCGCACCAAGCAGATCCAGATGAAAAGCGTTTCACTCCTGGCTTCATCGGCAGGAGCGTGTGAAGGGGGAGCGTCTGCAACTCCAGATCTTGCTGGCCCAGTCCTTACTCAATGCTCAGGCATCTGTCCAGCGAACAGCTCCAAACTGCTGGACATCGAACTCAGGCCCAGCGGTTGGCCTCCAGCCTCCGGCGGCGCTTGCCTTTGCCTTATCATTCCTTCATAAGCGTGTCATCTGGTCATGTCACGTTCTTACCGCTGTCCCGGGCCACGCCTTGTGAACCGGAGATACCCCAGTCAGTTTCCTCCTCGCATGTATCTTTCATTGGTCCTTTCACGTTCTTGTCACTCTGCTGGGCCACTCTTGTGCACCAGAAGATCCAAGTAGCTCATGTTGGAACGGTCTTCTTTATCTGCAGTTTTGGACGTGCGGAGAAGTGTTTGTGTTATTCCATTATTCTCACACTGACCTGTCATTGGTCGTCTCACATTCGTGTCAGTGTCATGGGCCACCCCTTGTGGACCAGGCGACTGCTGGAACGGTTTCATTTGGTCGGCGATCTTCTGTATTCACAGCATGTGTACCCTTCATTGGTCTTTTCGCGTTCTTGCCCCTATTCCTGGCAAAGTTCTCGTGAGCAACCGCGTGCACATGCAGAGATTTTGAGGCGCCAGTGCTGAGCACCATGAGGGCGTGCGAATTCGAGTTCCCATACTGCAAGAGCGCCAAAGAAGCGAATCGGTGGCTCTGGGTCGCTCGCCTTGCAGTTAGATTTTCAAAACGGGGGACCCTGGGGGTGCACTTTTCAAGGAGTTTTAGCGCTAGCTTCAGCATCATTTACGCAATACTTAATGAGAGAGGTACGCTCCCTGCAATAACGGAGTTTTGCTGCAGATGACAACTCAAAAGAACCACAAAAGACCTAAACACCAAACAAAAAAACACAAGAACCAAAAAAAACAAAAGAACCAAAAAAACCAAAAGAACCAAAAAAAACAAAAGAACCAAAAAAAACAAAATAACCAAACAAACCAATTGCCAGAGACTCCTGGACTGAAATTTCCATGGCCGGAGAGTGTCGGATTTTTGGTTCTTTTGTTTTTTTTGGTTCTTTTGGTTTTTTTGGTTCTTTTGGTTTTTTGGTTCTTTTGGTTTTTTTGGTTCTTTTGTTGTTTTTTGATTTTTTTGGTTCTTTGGGTTTTTTGGTGTTCTTTTGGAGGTGGCTGCCAACCCAAAAAAACATCAAAATACGCGCGCGCGCGCCCAGGGTCAGTGGCACACATTGGGGGGGCAATGCACTCTCACGGCAAGGCTCGTAGACAATGCACATGTGTACGTGTGAGTACTGCATTTGGTCTAGTTTAAAGCTGTTACATTGTCACTCTTGTAATTAGGCTTATCGGCGTCTGCGGGATACAGCGACCAATTATTTGTTGAGCTCCATTTGTTTTACAGTAACTACCATTTTTACTGTTAATACGGTGACCATTAAATGTCTCTGAAATATGCAGGTCGATAGTGTTTCGCCGATATTTTTGTGTTTTTTGCAGGAAAAACCCCAGATGAAGTGTATAGTACTGGTTATCATATTGTCGTAAATTACTACAGTTACTTAATCTTATTTCAATCTCACATAGGCTGTTCACAGCATGCTAGAAAACTTGGATGTGCATAGATACATGTGCGTGTGAAATATGTATGTATGCATATATATATATATGTATATAGGTACACATACGTCAGTGTGTATGAGTACCCATTTTTGAGATGTATATATGTGTAAACTGTGCGGATGTATACATAGAATACAAGTACTGTCGTATGCTAAACGTTCTTTTACTTTGTAAGTAAAGTTGAAGGCATAATCAGCTAATCAGGCTTACTTCATTTGTTTGCACAGTTACTGATTTGTTTATCACCACGTTACTGTATAGGCGACCTATTTACGAGTTTCAAGTACTGCAATTGGATACCACTAGAAGTTTCATCTTTAATTTCATACTCGTTGTTACAACACTGGTTAGGTATTGTCGGTCTTAAGAGTCTTGAACATGTCTTATCTTGTTGTGTCTAAGTGTCTACATGAAGTCGATCACTTGGAACACCGGTGCACATCTATGCAACACACTGGCCAACAAACCTAAGCTTAAAAAGCGCATTATGTTTGTAGGATCATTCACATTTACATTTTCTGCTATAGGATTTGTACATTGATTTACACGTTCAGCCTGTCCACATGTAACATGCCTTCTATATTTCGATTACTCTTCTGAACATGACCATAGCTAAAGTATGACAAGTACATGTATGGGCCACCTTACAATAGACTTGTTGCTGGTAACCTATAGAACATCGGCTTAGTGTGGATTGAAAAGTATCGTGTATCTAGTGCTATTACTGTCTGTATTTGGGTTGAATGTTCGGTTACCAAAACACGTACCGACAAGAGCAATGCAAAGGGCATGGTTAGTATTAATAACACGAAGATGAGCAAACAAATTAGTATTTACAGATCAAGAAGTCTGTACTACATCCACAAGCATGCTCCGCGCACACATATGTGTATACATCTATGTATGTGCATTGAAAGGTCAGAATTGTCAACCAATGTAAGGCACTGTATATACAAAGTATACATGTATGCAAATATATTTACATATAAATATAAATACATATATATATATATGCATATATATATATATATATATATAAATATACATATGCCGAGCTCTCTACCATACACAATTTCACACATACATGTGTGTGTGCGGATATATATATATATATATATATATATATATATATATATCCGTCTCTGTATGTAGGTATATATATATACATACATAGACATATATATATATATATACATTTATTTATTTAGTTATTTATGTATTTATCCGTACACATATACCCTTCATGTATATATATATATATGTAACTTGTGTTCATATGCAAATACACATATATGTGATTGCAACCTATGACATATTTGGAAGTAATACAATAGAACAGAATACTAGTATCCATGCTTATGTGTCCTCAGCCCGATAAAACTAACGAAGCAAATCATATGATGCAAACAGCATGTACTGAGGTCCAAACTTGTTATAATGCAAAACACAAATAACAGTATTGGTACGAGATATTTCCGTTAGCTCGAGTCGAAAAGATCAGCAACTAGGGCCGTGTCTCTGGTCGCTTGACCTTTAGACTGGACATATGACCAGCAAACCAACTAGTCATAACATGAATGCGGGCACAAGTGGGTCTCTGATGGATTCTATAAAGCAATATATGCGCTTGTACCATCACAATTCTAGCATAAAGCAAGCCAGCCACAAATACAGAATCAAACAACTTCAAAAAAGCGCACGCCCACAGTCCCCCGGACTCCAAAACTTTTTTTGCTACAAGTCAGAATCACTTGGCTTATTTAGCCCCTGATTGGACCCTTTGTCTTGTCCACGTGTGCCTGGCGGTGTATTCCTCCCGCAAGCTCAACTTCAGCACCGATCGGCAGAGGATACATGAAGATACTCAGTGTTTCGCAGAGTGCTGGTGGCAAGGAAATTCGAAAAGGTCTAAAAGGTGTATAATGCTTGCACCATGTGGAGATGAACATGTTTGCCTAAAGGCACTGCTCGTGCACTCTTACTCATGCCGGCCTGGCAGCCGTTCTGTCGCTCAACGCCCCAGTGTCGAGGTCACCAGCTAGTCAGGTGTTGCAAGGCTTCAGCACACCCTCCAATGGCGATTTTGGGTCGCATGCCTGCGCAAGCACCTCGTGGACAGTTGCTCCCCACGCTGCTGGGCCAAGCTGCCTGGGACTTAGCCGCCCCTCCAAGTGCTGCTGAAGCTGTGGCCGCAATCTTGGCTGCAATGATCCTTTCGTGGGCCACCGCATGCCCAGGTTTCCTTGGGCCAGGTCGGCAAGATGAGGTATGGCAACAGCCCGAACAAGTCTTTGCCTCAGCAGCGGTTGCGCTGACCCAGACAAGGCTCGCAGTTTGCGAAGGCCTTCAATCAGATTTGTGAGGCTGTTCATTGGAAACCTTTCGACCGAAGTCTCCAGCGATGATTTGGTCGAGG